CCGAGGACCAGAGACATGATATCCTTACTGTTTTCGGTCTTTAGTTTCAGTTTTACTAGATCTAGTTGGGGCATGTCCCAACATTTCTAGTCAGTTTAGAGGCTTACTTTCTGACATAGTTAGTTTCAGCCTAGTATGAGTTAATATCTTTTGTATTAAACTCTCTCAGTTATAGTATATGGGTATTCCCCATCTTTTCTTTATTTATGATTTTAGCTTCCGCATCAGTTATTTTATTCATGTTAATTATAGTATGCTCAGATTATGCCAGCAGGGTTAGCTTGGGATCACTTGTGGTCCTAGGTCCCGTGTCTGCATCTCGGGGGTAGCTCGGGGCATGACAGGAGCCATACTATATTATATACAAAAACATATTTTTCATAGTAAAAATCGACCACTAGTCTATTAATACAAACAGAGTAATGCTAAAAATAATATGAAAAAAAAGTATCAGTTTCAATAAAACTCAACAATGCCATTGACCTAAACTCCATTATAGTTGACCAACATACAAGGGATTCTCAACATACAGTAAAACTAAAAATAATACGAAAAAAAGCATCAGTTCCAACAAAACTCGACAATGCCATTGCCCTAAACTCCATTATAGTCGACCACATACAAGGGATTCTCAACATACAGTAAAAACTTTTAGCCTGTTGGACCAGATAAACATAAAAAATCAAAAAATCGATAAACATAAAAAATCAAAAATTTCTATGCATTGTCCAAAGCAAAACGTCACTAATGATTCCGAATAAAAAGCATGAACTAAAATGGGTGAGATTTTCAGAATTTTAAGCAAACATCAAGTCACGACACTATCGCAATATAAAAATCAAATAGGCTAAAAGAAAATAGAAAACACGATTAAACTTACATCACACTCAGAAGATTGAAAAAGATCTGGGAAGTAGATTGAAAAAGTTTTGATTGAACTTGAGAAGAAGATTGATGAAAAATAGACAAACTCGACTTCGTTTTTCAGGAACAACTATAGGATCTCGTTTTTCAGAAACTTGAGAAGAAGATTGATAAAGACGGAAGACGGAGAATGAAAAGTTGGATGAAGGTTGATGATTTCGATAAAGAAGGTTGAAAAGCTTATGGAAGATGAAGAGTTAACGTATTCAGAGGTTTCCTCGAAAAGTGTTAACCTTTTTTATTAAATAATTTTTAAATTCCTTGGGATTGTAATATAATTATTTGGAGGGATGAATTTATTTAATGTTGAAGTGTTGGAATGAAAATGATATTTTGTACACATGTTTTTATCCCCAAGTTCTTAAAATGATGAATTGGTTCATGCCCCACAACTCAACCCCACTTTTTCACCTTTTTTAACCCTAACACTACAAATTAATTCAAAAAGAAATTAAGTGGCTATAGTGCAAAATAAGTTTTGGGAGTGTCCCCCATTCCAATTAATCTCCAATTACTTCATCAACTTCTAACGAACGGTAGGTATTTCATTCACAAAATTAATATAGATGCTAAAAACTCAAAACATTTTTCATGTACCAAAGTTGTTAAATCACATAAAAAAGATGCATCCAAGTACAACTATTATATACCTATAAAAAGAAAATCTCCATTCACCCAATACACCACATTTCCTTCTTCTTCTTATTTAACTTTTGTTTAGTTTTCAAAGGCAAGAAAAAAAAGTTCAATAGCTCAGTTGTAATTTTCCAAAATGTTTCTTGTAGCATAATTATTACTACAACCTTATATAATCATAGCCAAACATCATACCCAAAAAAATAGTCTAATCATCAATATAATTTACTATATTTCAGTAAAATCATTTTTCTATCTTTCAAAACTCACGATTAATCAAAGATTGTGTGAGAAGAATGAATCAAATATGTCTTATGACTCTTAAAGTACATAAATATCATGTCTCGATAAGGAGATGTGGGGATACTTAATTATTTATCTTCAGATTCATTCTTCTCATCACAATCTTTGAACATGAGTTTTGGATGGTAGAAAGGTGATTTGACTTATTCATAGTGAATTATTTTGATAATTAAACTATTTATTTTTGTCTAATGATTGGTTATGGTTATATAAGGTTGTAATAATAACAATGCTCCAAGGAACAATATCAATTTTCATCCATATGATGTTTCTTTTCTTTAAGCAATAGGTTACAACTTGAAGTTAGATTTGGAATTTTATTTTTATGGTTAAATACTAATTTTCAAATAAAATGACAAAAAAGTGAATAATTTTTGTGACCAAATGAATCCTAAGAAAAACGATTAGACACATTGAGTTTAACTAGCCAAAGTAGTTGCTTTTATTATATTAAAATTGTGTAAATATTTCCACTTAATTCGTTATATTTCACAGGTTAGAAGAGCTATAGAGAGTCAAGCTAATTTAAGCTCAACAAAGTGATGTGTTCTCGTGATTGATATAGTTTGACGCAATTTGATTAATGGTGCAAATTTCCATTTGTTAAATCTACAATTAAAGAACTATTTTATACCTACTGTCATAATTCAGGAACCATTTACAACATTTTCTATATATTTCACTCACAAAATTAATGTGTGATAAGAACTCGAAACTTTTCTCATATACCTAAGTTGTTACATAAAAAAAATGCATCCAATTAGACAAGAAAGTACAATTATTATATACCTATAAAAAAGAAACCCTCCACATGACCCAATACACCCCATTTCCCTTTACTTGTCTCTACTTTTCTAAAGGCAAGAAAAAAAGTTCAATAGCTCACATGTCAATTTTCCAAAATGTTTCTTGTAGCATCATTATTACAATTAAACGAAGATCGTGTGAGAAGAATGAATCAAAGATGTTTCATGACGGTTAAAATATGGAAATTATTCATTCTTTTCACCACAATCTTCGAGTAAGGATTTTGGATGGCAAAAATAGGTGATTTCACTTATTCAGAGTGAAAATTTCTATAATTAGATTATTTTTTTGGTCTCATGATTGGGTGTGGTAAAGGTTGTAGTAATAATAATGCCACAATGAACAATAGTAACTTTCATATTTCTTACCTCAACTCGTAAAGGCGAAGAGGATTTCTCTGATATAGACCATCGACTCAGGTACAGCAATAAGACATATAGAGTAATTTGCAAAATTTTCTTCACTTTTGGACAAAGATAAATCCACAATATGGCCCTCTTCTTTATTCCAAGGAGGCAATATGAAAGCCAAAAGCAGCATAATAAGAGAGCAAAAGAGACAACATCTAAATACTACTAGTTCTAGAACAAACTTAATGGATTTCATTCACTCAGTGCGAATCTAGATAAGTCGGGCCAGCAATCTTGGGGTACCGGTTGGTTAAACCGGCACATACACTTGAAGACATATTTGAGTTTAATTAGCCAAAGTAGTTGGTTCACAACCATCATGGACACAAGCTAAGACATCCTTATAGTCTCTTAAGATTGTAAAAGAATCATACACTTTACCATCTTTGCTCTTCTTGTACTCAAACAGAAGGTTAGATTGGTCAAATGCTGTGAGTTTGACAAATCCAGTCATAATCTTTGAACACACTCCATGTAGTGTTAATGGTGGTGAATCTATTCAAATGAGCTCCTCCTCCACCAACAACAACATGAATTGTTCCGTTCACTACGCCAGAGTAGTGTGATGTCTCTTTGTTCACACATTGATTCTGTCCATACAACAAAATGAATGGTTTTTCAAATATATATCTATGTAAAATAGAAATAAAATGTGTATGTATATATATACCTGGTAAATGGGGCAAACTCTTTCATAGTTATGAACGTGCCTGTAGAATGCCATATCAACCTTATACTTTTGCCAGAGCTTTTGCAAGTGCTCCCTTCCGATGGGCTCTTCAAATGGTCCTTCCTTAGCATACCATTCATTAGATGAGTAACCAAGAACACGATGAGCAGCGAAAATCAACCAAGGTTGTTTATGTCTATTGGCTGACGCAAAACATTGCTCGATGAACTTGTACTGTTCAGATCCCTCTCTCCAATCATGCTCAGTATCTGCTATACAGAAGTGGAACATCCCATAATCAGCTGCATACGAGAACTTAGCTCTGTTTTCTGCAGGGACATAGTATAATGTTTCAGCTGGTACACCACATTCTCCACCCGAGTCTAGACCGTTATGTATTGATCCACTGTTTTCCCAAGTTCTTTCATGATTACCACTGCAGAACAATTTTTCATCGCGAAATGAAGATTTCAAGTATTTAAAAGCAGACTATCCACAATCACAATGATGAACAGACCTTGCAATACCCTCGATGTTATTGACTCTACTTGCGCAGTAATCCCATTGTGAGATATATCCGTTTGCATAGGGGAGATCTCCAATAAGGAAAACCGCGTCAATGTTATCAAGGTCATCAATAAGGGTGTCAGTTGTCATAAGTGAACCTGGCTGATAATTAGCATATTCATTTGAGCCATCGCGCTCTTGCTAGAAGAACAAATATGGGAAAACCACATTCGTCAACGTTTAGAAAGAAAGATATATATGTTAGCATGATAGACAACTAAATGATTGTATATATTAATGTAATTAAATAGTGATATAAATTAGCATGATCATATACATTTGTTGTAGAATCATATGAATAAATATTGTGATAGAATAGCTGATTTGGAGGGATAGCAAGGCAGATTTAAAGGGATTCAATGGCAGATTTGTATAGATAGAATAGCTGATCTTTAGGGATAGGAATGGCGGATCTTTAGGGATGTGTAATCTTTATTTTCTCTATATAATGGAAAGACTCTCTCACTTTGAGAGGCATTCAGCTGAAAATTGACATGGTATTAGAGCCTTCTCTTGGTTGTCTTGTTTCATAGAGGCATCTGTGGTTCCTTTTAAAAAAAAATTGAAAATCTTGGTTTTTGGTTGACTGTTCATCGACAATCAGTCCTACCACCTGGGAATTTTGTTCTTGGTCATTCTAGTTGCTTTCTTGAGTCTTTGTAGTTTTATAGCTATTCAAAAGCATGAATTCACATCACTTTGAATCCTTCAGTGTTCGTTTCACTGGAAAAAAATATTCTTCTTGGGAGTTTCAATTTCAGTTGTTTGTCACCGGCAAAGAACTATGGGGCCATATAGATGGAAGCGATCCTGCTCCTACTGATGCAACAAAGCTAGGTGAATGGAAGATTAAAGATGCTCGGGTGATGACATGGATTCTAGGGTCAATTGACCCTCTTATTGTTCTTAATCTCAGGCCATACAAGACAGCTAAGGC